TGTCTTTTATTTGTCCTGTGTTTACAGTGTTGTATATTTTTGAAGAACAGTTAAGCCAGAAAAAAACAGCTATGCAGTGTAAGTTCAGTGCGACAACTGAAAATTAATAGTTCAAGTGGCCCTTTTCCTTGCCTAGGCTCTTGAGATTAATTAAGGATCCGACAACTGGACATCTTCCCAAGAATCAGCTTGTTCGGCTCCAGAGCTAAAAGAACCACAAAAACAATGCCGCCAGCGGTGGTTCTCATGCCTGTGGACAAGGCCTGATTTCTCTTTATAATGTAACCTCTACAGTAGGACTAAATATGTAGCCACCAGTATTAACACATCGAAGTATTGCGCAAATGTCAAAATTTGGTTTGACGGGATAAAACCTTTTGTCTAACAATCCCTACTTTGGGAAAGAGAGAAAAAGAAAAAAAGATTAATGACATTCATCGTTATTACTAAAATGTTAGACCTGTGCATTCTTGAGAATGTCAAGTATATTGCAGAGCTATTGAAAGCTAATTGTGTTGTCCTAAAACTAACGAAGTAAGCTCAGTTTAGTAGAAATGATTTAGTCACACGTTGGGATCGGCTGAAAATTTTATTCCAGTAACTTAATGACTTTCGTAGGAATCGTGTATTAGCCATACTTTATTTATTAAAGCTGTTTGCAAAAGACAAGGACTATGTTCAACCTCTACCAGTACCTTAATAAAACAACAAATCCTAACTCTCCTGTCTGTACTTTTTTAATAACACAAAATCTTGAGTTCCTCTCGTTTCATAGGCAGTTAAAACTGCCGCCTGATTTTCTACTTTTAACTGCAGAGATTTCAAAGCTTCAGGTTGCAAAAACGGCAGCGAGCCCAGAGAGGAGAGACCCAAAGGTACTTTTTCAAAGGCAACTGGACTTTATTTTTCCTTGAAGATAATAATAATAATAATAATAATAATAATAATAATAATAATAATAATAATAATAATAATAATAAAGTTGGAAGGGACCTTGGAGGTCATCTAGTCCAACCCCCTACTCAGGCAGGAAACCCTATACCATTTCGGACAAATGGCTGTCCAGTTTCTTCTTAAAAACTTCCAATGTTGGCGCATTCACCACTTCTGGAGGCAGGTGGTTCCACTGGTTAATTGTCCTCACTGTCAGGAAATTCCTCCTTAGTTCCAGGTTGCTTCTCCTTGATGAGTTTCCATCCGTTGCTTCTTGTCCTGCCTTCAGGGGCTTTGGAGACTAGCTTGACTCCCTCTTCTTTGGGGAAGCCCCTGAGATATTGGAAGACTGCTGTCATGTCCCCCCTCGTCCTTCTCTTCGTTAAACTAGACATACCCAATTCCAGCAACCGTTCCTTATATGTTTTAGCCTCCAGTCCGCCTAATCATCCTTGTTGCTCTTCTCTGCACTCTTTCTTCTCTGCACTCTGAATGCAGTATTCCAAATGTGGCCTTACAAGGTCTTGTAAAGTGGTATTAACACTTCACGTGATCTTGATTCTGTCCCTCTTTTAATGCAGCCTAGAACTGTGTTGGCTTTTTTGGCAGCTGCAGCACAGGGCTGGCTCCTATTTAAATGATTGTCTACTAGGACTCCGAGATCCCTCTCACAGTTGCTACTATTGAGCAAGGTACCCCCTATACTATACCTGTGCATTTGACATTTCGTTACACATCCAAGCAGCTTCTTCAGTTCTGACTGAAGAACTGAAAAACTTCTTAGATGAGAAGCAAATTGACTTCAAAGAAAAATAAAAGTCCAGTTGTCGTTTGCAAAAGCACCTTTGGGACAACCATGACCTGGATGACTGAAAATCTCCACAGACCTTCGGCCACAGAAAAGAGGCACTAAAACCAGCAAAATTTAGAAAGGGGGGGGGGAATCCCCTCTACCCCAGGGAACACATTTATTTGATTTATATCTTGTATCTAGGCTAGAGGGAAAGTATGTAGTGATTTCTTCCCAGTTTCTGCTTCTCAAGAACTTTCCAAGAACAATGTGCTGTATGTTGGTTTAAAATTATTCTGCGTTTCAGAGCTGAGGATAAACTAGATTCCAATTCTCAATCACAGTCCAATATTTAACCCTCAGTCGAGACAGACTTTCAGCGAAATTAAAATGACGTCAGTTGGTAGGAGACAAAGAATGTAAGTGGGAAATGGGGAAGAGATCCAAAGTTTAAAAGCCTACAGAGTGTCTGAATAAATCATTTTCTGGTTGTCCTACCTTAAAATATCACCGGGAATGAAAGTGACAGCTGCCTATAAAAATCAATGGATATAACGGTGGTTAGATGCTGATGTGTCCATTTCAAAACTTATGACGTAACAGCAAAACGAATCTTGCTTTTTCTTAAGTCTGTCTCAATTACAAAAAAAAAATTATTATGCAAATCAGTTTGAGGGTAAAAAAGGGGGATTTTCTTAGAATGCTGAGTCTAAAGACTAAATCTTAATTTTAGTAATGAGAGTTCCCAAAGGAAATAAAAACCGGACTAGCTACCTCTGCTCTTCGATTCAAATTCATTTAAAAAAAAAGGGGGGGGGAGGGGGCTAGAATATTTGTTTTACTAAAATCTCTGAAGAAGGTGGCTTATTTACCCTGCTCAATGCTTTTACTTCAGAGCAAGCACGGGATTGAGGATGCTCATTTGAGAGCGATGAGGGATTGAAACATTTCAAAGTGACAGCTCTGGACCACGCCATTCCAAAACAAAGCTTCTAGAACAGGGGTGTCAAACTCAATTTCATTGAAGGCCGCATCAGCATTGCGCTTGCCCTCGGAGGCCAGGTGGATGCGGCCTACTGGGTGGGCGTGGATGGAGTGGGTATAGCCTACTGGGTGGGCATGGCCAGCTCTACATCATTCGCGTCAAGGGTGCCTGTGGGGGCCTGGGCAGGAGTGGGACAGATCTGAGGGTCTCTGGCAGAAGGGGGTGGGACCGGGGCAGAGCCCATCAAGCCGGATAGGTGAAGTAGGTGAGGGCCATTTGCTGGCCACTTCCAGGCGATGGTCCATTTCTTCATTCCTCACAAAGGGTGACACCTCCCCAGCATGCACCCAGGGGGCGGGGCAGACGTGGCAGGGGCTGGTTCCTCGCTGTTTCCAGACGGCCTTGTGGAGCTAAGACTGAATGCGTTTCAGCATAGATGGCCACCACAAAATTGTACATTGGCTCCCAGCCGGCTTGGGCCAGGGCCAAGGCAGCGGGGGCCGTTCCCTCACTGTTTCCAGGATGGCTTCGCGGGCCACATGAAACCACTTCGTGGGCCGCATCCGGCCCCCGGGCCTTGTGTTTGACATGTCTGTTCTAGAAGTTTGTTTACTTATTATCCCAACACCAGCCTATTTGTAACGCCATGATCATTCTCTACTGCAGTTACGTAATTGTCACTAAGCATAAAATACAACTGGAACCTCAGTACTCATCGTTAATTGGTTCCGGGAGGTGTGATGAGTACCGATTTTTTTCCCCCTAAGGAATAAGGGGAAGTGAGTCATAAGATAGCTGACAGCGACAAGTTCTAGCTTGTGCGCTGAACACCAAATAAATGATGAGTACCGGGACAAAATGTTTGCGTCAAAGACCCATAAAAACCAATCACAAAAAGCTCTAGAGGTACTTTGCAAAGGCTGTGGATGCCAAAGCTAAGTAACGGATTCTTGCAGGCCTTCTTAAGCACGTCAACGGCACGCAAGCGCAGTCAATTCCACATTCATTTTATTAATTAAAAGAGTGCAAACCATTTTTCACCTGAAGTTTTACAGTTTTTAAACATTCCATTTACACATGGGTATTTCCGTTTAAGGTATAACGCTCAGGAGAAGATAAATACACCAGGATACACTAAGTAATATGCATGTAGTTATAAACGTGCTTTTAAGGGATCAGCCAAATTAAGCTTAAAATCAGAACATCTTCAGTAGCTCAAATGCAATGCAGAAAAGGCTATTTTCAACTGGCCAGTATTGGACTAATTCAGAGAGAGAGAGAGAGAGAGAGAGAAAAATTCCTCTTTGAAAATATTTAAATAGCTTAAGACAACAATGCATACCGTTAAAATAAATTGCAGCAGGAAAACGTCCGTTCTTCGTCCCCATAAACTTTACCACATCACTGAGAAATACAAGCTAACGTAAAAGTACTTTTGGGAGGTAGGTCAGGTGCAGGCTTCTGTTAAATGGGAGTGAAAAACCAGTACAGCTAGAATTTTCAGAGACAGGAAAAATCTGTGTTAAGGCATTTCCATAAAATGTGGGGCAGTGCCGTTCCCGGGAGAAACGAGCTACCAAATGCTAATCAAACTTCAAGACAGCTCGCATCATTAAAAGCTCTTATCTGAGACCAAACAGAATAAACAAATTGGCATAATTTCTTATCAGAAAGCAGTCTAGGTCAATAAACTCACCGAAAAATAAAGACAGATGAAAGAAGAAATCAGTAGTCTTTAAAATGGATTGGCACAATAAGAGTTTTGTACTTTTTTGTATTTTGAGAGGGTGCTCTAAAATTAGACGGAGTCACAGACTATGTGGGGAGGGCGGGTTTTTCTCTCTCTCAGCAAAATGGAAGTTTTAAGCATCCACTAGACTTAAGAAGGAGTCCACTTTTGTTCCTTAAAACGTCCCCAAATGGAAATAGGGACTCCAACCTGGGATTCATTGACTGGAGGGGGCCTCTAAGGGCTACAAAAGTGAGGGTGGTGTGGTTTAAAAGAACTCAGCATCAGAGTTACCCACAAAAAAAGGTGAAAGCTAAAAAAGCACGAGTGGGCCTTTCCATGTTTGGAGACAGATCTGAAGAACAGTAGGATCTCACCATTCTTCTTGGAAGGAGGATAGCAGGACCCACACACCAGAGGTCTCAAAGGTACACTGAAGTTGTCCTACTTGATCCAGAACGTCATCTTCGGACGCAATCAGCTTTCAGATATGAGGAAGAGCAACAGAAACACACAAGACCTCCAGATGCTACGAAGTCACTCCGGGAGCAAATTGCTGGTATCACATAGGCAGGTCCTTTGCAAAGTGTTCGGGTTTCAAAGCGCCAATCTGCATAAAACTTTAGCTGGAAGAAGCCAGCATTACCTCACGCTGTCCTTCCCGATGTCAAAGGGCAGATCTTCAGGGCCTAACTGGTCACCCTCAGAGAAAAGTGCGCATAATTCTGAGGCTGAAACACACAAAAAGCTTATGGTGAAGACTCCTGATTTGATGTGACAGAAGCATTCAGCACTCACAAAAGAAGAGCCAGGTTTTTATCATCCACCTTTCATGGCTAGCTCATCCTGGTTAAGAATCCCTTTCTCCACAGGGCTGAACACTAGTGGGAGTGGAGGGAAGGCAAACCTGGAACTTGCAGATTTCATGACTGATTCGAATCAGATGTCAATGACTTTTTCCCCTGCTTAATTAAAATAACTTTTAATTAAAGTTCTTGCCCCGATTCTGAGCAATGGGATATGTTCTAACTAATTTGTCTCCCAAGTAAGATGACAAGAGCTGAGATTACTGAGGGGGAACACCTGCCACAGCATTATTTTCTAAATAAGTTGGTTCTGCAAGAAAAGGACAGTCCAATCTAGGAAACTTTTAAAAGTTGAAAACGGAGAGAAATCAGCTTTAGAGTCATGTATTAGCAGAAAAGTTTGCAAAATGCATCCAAAACAAAGAGACAAATCTAAGGAGAAATAGAGTCCAGTTTATTTATTTATTTATTAAATTTATATACCGCCCTATCTCCCTTGCGGGACTCAGGGCGGTGAACAGGCGATACTAAAAACCACGATAATAAATAAATAGTTTGTTTTAAAATCGAATTAAATAACAGGCCTGTTCTAAAAACACACCCGTAAAAAAAACCCCACTGAAATATAATCAAACCACGCCAGGCCGGCCGCACGGAATAGATGGGCCTTCAGGGCTCGGCGAAAAAGGCGCAGGTCCGCAACTGTACGTAGGTCGGTGGGGTAGGTCATTCCAGAGGGCAGGAGCTGCCACAGAGAAGGCTCTCCCCCTGGGGGTAGCCAGCCGGCATTGTCTGGCCGACGGCACCCTAAGGAGGCCCTCTCTGTGGGAGCGGACTGGTCGAAGGGAGGTGTTTGGTAGGAGGCGGTCTTGCAAATACCTAGGTCCATTGCCATGGAGCGCTTTAAAAGTTGTTACTAACACCTTGAAGCGCACCCGGAAGGCCACCGGCAGCCAGTGCAGCTCGCGCAGGAGAG